CATTTCCCCAGTGGCACTTGTTCTCCTGAGATTCTGCTGGGCAGAGGAAGAGCTCACTATTCAGGCACAAACACGGGTCACCCCAATTCCTTCAAACGACACAGGGATACAGAGCGCATGGAGACCACTGCCTCACACAATGTCAATAATTTTGGGGGAAAATTTCTCATCTAATTTTTTTTAAGGGCAATGGCACACCCAGCAGTGCTCAGGAATTACTCCTGGGTGCCGGGAATCAAGCCTGGTTTGACCGTATGCAAGACAAGTGCCTACCTGCTGTGCTATTGCTATTGCTCTAGATTTCAGTTCTCATCTGATTTTTTGAGGAGGTTGGGCTTTACCTAGCTGTGCTCAGGGATCACTCCCAGTGATGCTCAGGGGACTGTATGTGTTGCTGCAGATCACACCGAGGACTGGCCAAATGCAAGGCAAGTCCCCAATTTGAGAACCTTCCACGGTATACAACTTCTGCATATTCGTTAGTTACTGCATGCGGGCAGCAGATCTAGGCATCTGTCTAGAATGCCTGACTCTGCTTTCCTAAAGAAAACAGCGGCAGAGATTTTCACTACAGCTTCCCCCACTCTCCAAAAGCTTCTAAGTTCTATTTGGTATGGTTTGGCAAGTTATTTGGTTGGGGAGTGGCTGGGAATGTGCCAAACTTTTTTCATGTCAATTAATGGTAATTGCACTGCCAGACCCCAGCCAAATAGCCTACCAAATAACCTTCCTTTGGAGAGCACAAAAACCTCCTAGTTACAAAGAGATTTTTGGAAAGATCCTAATTAAAAGACAAAAATCACACAAGATACAACAATCTGACAGGGGAGTTGGGGGGAGAATAGCTTTTATGTTAACCTCAGGATGAAAAATATTTTTGAACATTCAGTGGGCTATTTGGCTAATATTATGGGCCATATTGTATGTGTCCAGCATTTGTGTAGGAGTCGCAATGTTGCAATGTCCAGTAAGTGCCTCAGAGGAATGTGGCCAGAAGGGGGTCAGAATGTCTGTGTTCCAAATGAGCCATTATTAGGGGGGTCCTCCATGTGTCAGGACCAAAAGAGGAGGTCTGTTTACTCTAGGTAAATGTAGTGAGCAGTACCTTTTTTTTTTTAATTTCCAGCAAATACCTGTGCTTTTTCTGATAAACAGAGAGTCAGCAACTGTCTATTACAAAATTTCTCCCAGAGCTTAGGCTCACAGGGAGGTTAAGATAATGGGAAATACCTAAGGCAAGGGCTGGAGCCATAGCACAGCGGTAGGGCGTTTGCCTTGCATGCAGCCAACATGGCCGAACCGAGTTCGATTCCTCCGCCCCTCTCGGAGAGCCCGGCAAGCTACTGAGAGTATCTCGCCTGCACGGCAGATACTGGCTGTGCAGTATCTGCAGTATCTGCAGAGCCTGGCAAGCTCCCCGTGACTGTATTCGATATGCCAAACACAGTAACAACGAAGTCTCCAATGGAGACATTACTGGGCCCGCTTGAGCAAATTGATGATCAACGGGAGGGCCTTTACTTTACTTTTACCTAAGGCAAATGGTTTGAGGGTCTAACAGATGCTCATCCTCTGTAACACTTGCCAAGAGCCCAATTTTCATTTAAAAGGGCTTATCTTTACCCTCCCTGCATTCCCTGCAACACAAAGACCAGTTATGCTATAAAATACCCACAAACAGAGCCAGAGTTAACTTCATCCTATATTAAGTTCCTCCCCACCTGAGGAGCTTCTTTTCTTTTCTACTTTCCAATAAACTTTTCTACTTTCCAACTCTGAATCTTAGCATCTTTATTACTCAATATTTTCATTCTTGAAAATATTGAAAGACCGTTTCTGCCTCACCTGCATCAGTTCCAGGTGAAATAGGAATTCTGAAACAGACCAACATCATGCAGAGGGAGAGTAAGTGGAGATGCTGAGAAGACCATGGCCAATCCAGGAGAAGGTTCCGGAATAGCCCAGTCCTGCCCATACCTGCATCTCAAGCCCAACACTGCCCGGCAGCAAGAAAGCAGGTCTTGAAGCAAAGTCAGTCAGTGGTGCCCTATGCGAAAGTGACATAGCCCACCAAGAAATGTTGCCGACTGGCATCAGCTATACCCGTGAGGGGGGTAGGCTTACTTTTCTGCTCGTTCTCCTAACCAGAAAATTTCTTTTCCAGAGAGCTGTTAGTGTCTCAGAATCAGTCAGTGCCTACTCATTCACTTAAGGAGTTAAAATTTACCCGCCATATATGAAATGCTAAACACTTCAAAGCAGGAATAGAAAGGGTACAGCTCTGTATGCATTAATAAAAGGACAGTGGATGGTTCTGTAATTTCTACTAAGTGATCACTCCCTCTTTTACAGTATCACAAATACTGTGACTGACACTAACATTCCCCCCAATAATTCAATAATTCCCCCCAATAATTCAAACTAGATTCTACAATGGTGTATTTCAATTAATTTTGTGTCTATATGAATACACAAGGAAAGACTTTTTTCTTTCATTCTTTCATCTTTCTAACATTCATCAACTTATTTTTAAAACCATTATGCTATTTTGTAATCAAAGAGGAATAATCTTCCAAAGTAATTTTCTAAGCTTCTAGAGCAAACTTAATATCAAACTTTTAATAGCATAAATGAAAGCAATTTAACTGACTAAAATATTGCATAAACTCCGTCTCTCCGTACTTCATGACGAACAGCTCAATGATCGTTAGAGACATGTATAAAAGCACTCTTCAACGAATACCCCGCCTTCCCTTTAAAGTCTTAATACAGAGAGAACTGTCAATGCTTGACAAAAGTTCCATTTTAGTTTTCACAACTGTTCTACAAATTTGGGAACAGATTATAATTTTCATTTTACACGTGAGCCAATGCAGAGACATCAAACTAATTAAATGCAGATGACTCCAAAATCACTTAATCACTTCACTTAACTTCCCGTTAGTCGTCGATTTGCTCGAGCGGGCACCAGTAACGTCTCCATTTGTCCCTGTCGCGTGCTAGTGTAGCCCAATGGCATCTGTTCACTCCGGGAACATGAAGGGCCTCAAACCGATCGTTCATGATCTTGACGAAGAAGTCTGACCATCTGGAAGGTGGGCGGCCACGCGGTCTTTTGACATCCCGTGGAATCCAGTCGGTAACAGCTCTAGTCCAGCGGTCGTCTTTAAATCTCATTACGTGACCAGCCCATCTGATTTTCGACACCTTGGCAAATGAGACAGCGTCCCTGATTCTTGATCGTCGACGGATGTCAGAACTCCGGATTCTTTCTCTCATTTGAGTGCACGTGATATTCCAAGCATAGCTCTTTCTATTCTTCTTTGGGAGACCTGAATAGCGTTCTCATCTTGTTTGCGTAGGGCCCAGGTCTCTGATGCATATGTTAATGCAGGAAGAACAGTGGAATCAAAGAGATGTGCCCGGAGCAGGAGGTTCTTCGTCCTCTTAGCTATTTCTTCGACGTTCTTGAAGGCATTCCAAGCCACTCTCTTCCTCCTGCGCAGCTCGGGTGCCAGGTCGTTTGTCATGTTGACCTCTCGACCTAGGTACACATAGCTGTTGCATTCAGAGATGGTCATTCCATTGAGAGCGAATGGGGCATCAGGAACAAGGCTGTTTCTCATAAACATTGTCTTCGTAAGATTCAGCTGTAGTCCTACCTTTCCACACTCACGGTCAAAGTCGGTCAGCATTTGTGCCGCTTGGCTGATGTTTGGTGTTATTAAAACAATGTCATCAGCAAAGCGGAGGTGGTGTAGTTGCCGACCATCTATCTTCACTCCCATTCCTTCCCATTCCAGTCGTCGCATGATGTTCTCGAGAGTGGCACTGAAGAGTTTCGGTGAAATGGTATCACCCTGCCGCACCCCTCTCTTGACATCAATGATCACTTCTTTGTAGAATGGTGAGATCCTGGTAGTGAATCCGCAATACAGCTCACGGAGGATCCTGATGTATTGGGCTTGAATGCCCTGATTGGCTAGGGCTTCAATGACCGCTTCCGTCTCAACAGAATCAAAGGCCTTCTTTAAATCAATGAACGTTAAACAGAGCGGCATCTTGAACTCCCGAGAAACCTCAATGAGCTTGGTTATCGTGTGGATATGGTCGATGGTGCTGAATCCTTTGCGGAACCCTGCTTGCTCGCATGGTTGTCCTTCATCTAGTGTTCTGCCAATCCTATTTAGGATGACTCGAGTGAACAACTTGTAGATGACAGACAATAGGCAGATCGGGTGATAGTTGCCAATGTCATGGATGTCTCCCTTCTTGAACAGTAGTACGGTCCTGCTGGTTTTCCATTGGGACTCCAAAATATGTGTTTAAAATAAAGTAATAAATGGTGGCCAAATTAATGTATGCTTCCCATTTTTCCACAGGTTGGAATTCAACTTTTGGCACAAGAGAAATAACCACTGGTTCAATGAATACAGCTACCTGTACTCTTTTTGTAAAGGCAAACGCTTTTACTGTGTTCTACAAATGTTGATCAATCTTAAATTATAAGTCACTGTCACTGTCACTGTCTTCCCGATGCTCATCGATTTGCTTGAGCAGGTCCAGTAACGTCTCCATTGTGAGACTTGTTGCGGTGCTGGCATACTGAATACATCATGGGGAGCTTGCCAGGCTTTGCTGTGAGGGCGAGATACTCTCGATAGCTTGCCGAGCTCTCAGAGAGGGTTTGAGGAATAGAACCCGGGCCAGCAGAGTTGGCCGCATGCATGGCTAACGCCCTAACAGCTGTGCTATCGTTTTGAATGTAAATAAACCTTTAACTAATAATTAGTTGTGTAGACACTTAATTTTCCAAGCCTATTACAATCACTGCATCAAAAAAGAAATTTAAGATCACATGTAACCATGACCAAACATTCAGAACCTATATGCTAAAAGTCATCAATATTCTAGATTATTCAATAAATAGCCTGAAGTGTGAAAATATATATACAACATAAAAAGCTGGTATTTAACATACATTGACTATAGTCCCTTACCAATATTGGGGTGCTTCAAAAGACGGCAGATTCTAGCTTCCCTTTCCAATTTCTGATGATCTGTTTAAAGAAAAATCACAACTATTAGCAAATTTAAACAAGGAAAGTAGACAATAGCATATCTCAATGACAAAGCCTTTTCTGTTACTTATCCTTTAATTTCTTTCTGAAAAGTGATGATTCAAATTCAAAGTGGCTGAATATAAGAGTTTCATGGCTTAACAATGTAACTATCTTCACTTTTCACTGGCTTGATGAGGTAGAGAAATAGAGTTGAATTGAGGCAGAGCTGAGATCAAAATGACAAAATATGCATTCCTTCTTATCTTTATCTCCAGTATGTATTGTCACCACCACTGAAATAATTTGAGATGCATGAACTTGTAAGCAGAGGGCAGATATCTGGAAACTGGAATATCAGTTTAACCCTGGAGGCCCTAACTGGCCTTTTCCTCCAGGATTCATGGGGTCAGATGTGACATCTAATTGTCTTTTCTTTGCCATTTTTCCACTGGAATATTTTCAGTTTTCCTTTGCTGTTCAGGATCTGACACTTTTGAAAATGATCTAAAAATAGTCACCATGTCTCTGTGTAAAGGTGGGTGTGGCTCACTTTTTGGATTTTTTTCAACAGCTGGCTCTTGATTTGATCCAAGCACTGTCATCATAGCTAGGAGGGTCCTCCTTTCCTGTCTGCTACCTCTGGGAAATATTGTCTCACTGCTTCTTAAAAGGGGTTTGATTCCAGGGTCACGGTGCTGAAGCGCTCTGCTAAATATTCCTTTACAACCAATAAGCATTTTAAGGCCATGAAAATATTCTATTCTTCATCAAATTTTTCCTCCAGTTCTAGCATCCAATGAGGATTCCTGCCTGAACCAATTTTCTCCAGGTTGGTAGCACCATGCTGATTCTTCCAATTTCAGCATGGTGACTTATTTTCATGAAAAAATATTGTTTTTCCAAAATAAAAGCAATGAGAACAGTGGCATGGCTTTTGTTCTCGAATATCAGCAAATCTCTCTGAATATCTTTAATTTTCAAATATCTGCGAATATCTCTGAAGGTTGGTGTATAAAAGACAGTTGTGAGCTCACATCTGCGTCTGTATTCAGTGCCATAAATTGTTTTGGTGGAAGTTGATGAAAAAAATCTGACCTCACAAGGATGGGGGGTCTGGCAAAGGGAGAGGCACTAGCTATGACAGGGAACATTTTTTAATATTATGCCTACACTCAATGGATGATAGTTTCTGAAAAGTAACTTGGTATGTGAAACTTGAAATCTGATCAATGACCCATCCATGGAGTTATGAACTTTAAAGTTGAAATCAAATACCATGAGAGTCATTTTCCTCTGCTGCATAAAACTCCACCAGTCTTTATTCTTGCTCTTTTACTCTTCTGCCTGGGTTTAATTTTATAACATGATGCATGGGTCATTTAAACAATTTGGGTTCGCAAGCTGGGCGATTACTCAGAAGGCAGGAGTGCTTGGCTGGCACGCCCAGGGCCTGGATTTGGGCCCCGGCACCACTTGCCTCAAGCACTGCCAGAGCCCCAGAGTACTAGGGAGTCTCTCGAACAAAACCAGTTAACAAAGAAAATGTTGGTTCAATACGTGGTTAATAGAATCTTCCAAATGTTGGCATATTTTATTATACAATATCATCCAAACAACAATAGTTGATATCACTTGTGACCTCATCAGAATCATCTTCAAATCGGGAATTAGTTACAATCTCATGAACAAGTGCAAGTTTTCTAATGATCTAATTTTTGTTGGAAATATGAGGGATGGGTGATAAATGGTATCACTTCCCTTTGAAGTGACAGACTGTTGTTTTTTTTGAGGAAAACATCTATCAAATGTCTAAAGTTTGAACAATCAGGACTAATTTCTCCAGTTCTTACTTCAAGCACAAAGGCGCTTTGTAAGGGAGTGTCTTTTCTTCTTTTCTTTTTTTTTTTATAACCACTGCACTTTGGAATCCACTAGGAGTACTGTCTGCATCTTCCCAGTGTAGTCAGTATTACCAAAGTGTGGTAGCCGAGAGCAAGGGATAGTAAGAGCAAATCTGCTTGGGCCACACTCGGTGGTGCTCAGGGCTTATTCCTGACTCTGAAGTGGCCACATGCAAAGTAAGTGCCATAACTCCTTTGCTATCTCTCTGGTCTTAAATAATAACAATTTTCATTGCTTCATGAAGGACAATTCTAAGTGAAATGAGCTGTTTTGGGCTTACTTACAGGCTTTTTTATTGTACTCTTCCACCTAGGTTTAATTTTATACCATGATGCATGGGTCATTTAAACAATTTTGGTTCGCAGGCTGGGAGATTGTCAATAACAACAAATGTCAAGAACATGTGTATAAAAGGTAGAAGCCTTAATTTTATTATGAAAACTGTTTTCAGCTTATAAATCCTCAGAGAGTTTTGGGAATTGCTAAAGATCGTTTCAGAAAAACTGGTCTGTACCATAGCTATTGAAATAGTGAGTTGTAATCCACTTGGGGTCACATAAGTTTAAGAGATTCTTAATAGAAAATTTATTATGATTTATTATCAGTAAATGTTTGAGTTCTATACCTGTATACTGGTGTTCTGTAAAACATTCTAGGTGAAAAAGAGAAATAGGATTGTGAGGGAATAAAGTTTAAGAATCACCATCCTCTACTGTATAGAGTTATTGCATGGGATGCTTTCTTTTTTTCAATTCATAACAATAATTTAGACATGTGTCATTAATAGTTCAATAAGTTGTAATTTAAAAAATAAGTATGGATGACATAGGACCCAATAGTGTCCTATTCATTATACCTAGATTACAAAATATTGAGACAAATCAACTCCAGTCTATGACCATCAACATACAACTAAAAGAACTGCAAATAAATGTGGATTCTTCAACCTTGTTCCGTGTCTTTCAGAGGTACCCATTCTTAAGCCAAGCTGCATCTACGGGACCAGGAGACACCTCAAGCCCCTGCCCACAAGCTTAGGGCTACAACATCCTCCCAACATGCTGCTGCATGGGCCTAGAGCAACCTGGCAACTCTGCTCCATCAGCTATGCCTCACCACAGCTAGATGTGTGCAAGAAGCTGAGGCCTCCGTGCCTGGCAAGCAAACACCAGGCTTGAAAAGATGTACAGGTGTTGCCTTGTGGCCAAGTGTGTGAGCACCATATGCAAGTATTATGTGTGTCTCCGCCCCGCCACCCTCCAAATCTCCCTGCAGCAACAGCACCAAAAGGAAAGGGAAGGGGCAGGGCCAGAAAGACAAGCTACTTCTGGATTATTTTTTCTGTTTTGTTTGGGAGTCATACTCATTGATCCTCAAGGGTTACACCTGGCTATGCACTCAGAATCACTCCTGGTGGGTTCAAGGGACCATACGGGATGATGAGATCAAACCTGGGTCTACGGCATGCAAGGCAAACGCCCTGCCCACGGTACTGTTTCTCCAGCCCAGTAACTTATTCAGAAATATACAGGCATAGACACTTAAGTTTGAATTTTTCAAACCCACCTAACACCATCTTAGTAAATACTGAAGAAGTATCCTATGTAAACTGTATGGAAAATAGGATAAAATGTTGTTATGAAAATGGAGAAACAAATACATACTAAATCACATAATTATGCCTATATAATCTGATACTATATAATTAAGTTAAAATAAAGCAAGACTTTGAACAAAAATAAGTGATTCTGTTTAGTTTTAGCTGTCAAGATGAATGGTTACAGAATTTTAGATAGCCCACATTTCTGAACTGAATTGCGTGCTCATACATAGAATTCTAAACCCTAAGTGCCTCAGAATGGAGCTCTATTTGGACTTGAAAGGTGAAAAAAGTTTTAATGGGGTCAAAGGGCCATAGAATTGGTATCCTTATAAGAGGGTATAGATGTGAGGAGGGAAGACCAAGTGCTATCAACCAGAAGCCAACCATCTGCAAGCCAAAGAGTGAAGTCTTGGAAACCAATGCCTGCCAACACCTAGGTACCAGTCTCCAGACCAGAGAGCCAATGAGGATTGTTTTAACCCCTGATGGGAAGCAACTTGCTAAGGCAAACCCTTGGTAATAAGTACTCTTGGGCGATCAATTATTGCTGCTAGACAACAAAACAGCCGCAAGCTTGAAATCATACTTGTGCACAATCTCACAGAATCTATGGGCCAGGCACCTGGATGTCATTTCCCAGGTCCCTTTGCTTTAGGGCCATTGCACAAGGCTGCTAAGAAAGGAGAAAAGAGGTTCTCCTCAAAAGCCTTGATGGGAAAGTTCTGCTTCCAACGCCTTGGCCCTTGGGTGCTGCATAAGGCACCTTCTTGGCTATTCGCTGAGATGGGAACCTGCTTGCAATAGTTTCCAATGAGGGAAAATGTGGCAAACAAAAGGCTGGTCTCTATCTTGACCCAGTCCAATCACAAGCACGGCTACCATGTTGCTCACATCTGATTGGCTAGAAGCCAGTCTCCGGGTGGGGCTGCCTCATGGCACCGGTCCAATCATGAGCACGAGTACCACGTTTGTCATATCTGATTGGCTAGAAGTCAGTGACTGGGCGGGGCCACCGTGCAGGATGGGCCCACGGGTGCCTGGACCGAGCCCTGCAGCTCCCAGGACAAGTGCTGGGGCCCAGTACTCCCCCAATCAGGCTCCTGGGGCTGCAGTTCTCCTGCCTCCTGCCTCCCAAACCAGCACCGCCCTCAGCGAGCTTGTCTGCATCACCAGGCATCTCTGCTCTCTTCTTTGGGGGCGTGTTTTGACATCCCCGCCACGCAGAGGGAACTGGGGTTTTCATTCAAACCAGATGTCAGCAGGAACGGAAGCAGGTCTCGCCCCGTGCTTTGCAGTCAGCATCAAGTTCACAGAGTGCTGCAGGGAGTAGGTCGGTGCCTGTTATTACCAAAGGCACATTTCTGCATGTATTGAGCTCAGGGGATGAACTGGCGTCTCATTTAAAATTCCCTTGACTCGCACAGTGCAGTCGGCAGCAAAACCCCCCACCTCCTACCTCCATGTCCTCTGCACTCACCACTACAACAGGGAG